GCTGACACGGGGCCTAGCAGAGAGAATGGCTGGAGCTGCAGTGCTTAGACATTTGATTTCCTACCTCCTCCTTGGAGAGTGCCCTTTACTGTCCTGGAAACCCTGGAGGAATTTTTCTTCACTACTAAAAAGTCAGCAGAAACATTTATATTTTCTTGAAATACAAGGTTTTCAGGATTTCTTCTCAAGTGGAGTTTCAGTTTCTGTTGTTGTTCACCTCTAGGGAACAGCAGAATTTGAGCACAGTTATCCAGCTCTAGTTTTCTATGTTTTAAAACAAAAATAAGTCCTTAGTTGTGTACCAGAATTTGAAGGCCAGCCACATGCACAGTAATTATATAATTCTTGCCTGTCGTTTGTTTGGGGTTAAAGGAGATTTTGTCTAAAAATTATAACCCTTCTGCGGGTTCATTTTATGAATGAATATAATGAGATTTTAGTTATTTAAGTGACGTACTTCAGGAAGACTAGGTCAAAATAGCATTAACCTAAATATAATTTAAATTTCTCTGTCTGTGAAAATCACCCTCTGAATTTTATTTGGCTCAGAAATTTCCTAAAGTACAACCTCTGTTATACACTAGCACAAGACAATTATTAATACACATGCTTTGAATCAGTATTCTATGAAAATAATGAACACTAGAGAGCATATATCTCACTATGAGGTATCTAAAGCATTTCCATTTCTTGGTTTTTAGAATATTTTATTCCTTCTCCTTAAGCCCTGATGTTAGAAATTACCTATGCTTGTAATTAAGTGTTTGTAATTATTTTTATTTTTCCTGTGTAGTCCTTGGAATTATTATGTGAACTATGTTGGGTTTTTTCAATTCTAGTATTCAAATTTACTTTAGTTTCTCTAACTACTGGTTTTAAGAATGTCATAGAACAGCAGTGTTGACATATAGGAGAATCATGGTGTATGTCTACATTTAGTCCCAGGTGGGAATTTGTCCTGCATCTAACCTTCACAGATTGGAGAGATGGGTAGAGAAGAACCATTGGAAATTCAACAAAGCTAAATTCAGGATCCTGCACTTGGGGAAGAACCCCCTGCACCAGCACAGGCTGGGGCTGACCTGCTGGAAAGCAGCTCTGCAGAAAAGGACCTGGGGGTCCTGGTAGACAGAATCCATCCATAAGCCAGCAGCATGTTCTTGTAACCAAGGCCAATGGTGTCCTTAATGAGTGCGTTAAGAAGAGCATTGCCAGTGGATTGAGGGAGGTGATTCTAACCCTACTCAGTCCTGGTGAAGCCACATGTGGAGTGCTGTGTCCAGTTCTGACCTCCTCAGGACAAGACAATGAGCTCCTGGAGCAGGTCCAGTGAAGGGCTGCAAAAGTGATGCAGGGGCTGGAGCATCTCTCTTATGAGGAATGGCTGAGGGGGCTGGGCCTGTTCAGTCTCAAGAAGAGAAGACTGAGAGGGGACCTTAACAATGTTTACAAGTGTTTGATGGGAGGTTTTCAAGAGGCTGGATCCAGGCTCTCCTTGGTGATGCCAAGAAATAGAACAAGGGGCAATAGGCAGAAACTGATGCACGGAAAGTTCCATCTGGACATGAAGAAATTCTTTAGTGCAGGTGACTGTGCACTAGAACAGGTTGCCCAGAGAGGTTGTGGAGTCTCCCTCACTAGAAATATTCAAGAGCCATCTGGACACAACCCTGTGCTATGTGCTCTATCTAGGGTGGCCCTGCTCAAGCAGGGAGGTTGGATCAGATCGCCCACTGTGGGCGCATCCAGTCAGACCCATTCTGTGAATTTTTGAATCATATTTTTAAATCATACTGCCAGGAGGACTGTGATTCACAGAGCCACAAGCTTGTTTGTAGTGCTAGACCCTGTATAATGCTTCTGCACTGAATCTATAGCATTTATTCAGAATATCTTTGGTCCTGAAGTCCTTAAGATTTCTTGGAAGAAGCCCTACATAATGCATTTTGGGGTCAAAGAAAATTGAAATATTTACCTGTAGGCTGTTTGCTTTTGTAGCTCTTGAAGCTTCAACGTGCAGCTGGTTAATATAACTGAAACAATGTCCTCTAAGCAAGAAATCACACTAGAAAGAGATATGGGGAAACATGTTGGTTATCAGGTATCAAATTTAGACTCACATTAAAATAATTGATAGCTGAAAGAATGTTTTAGTTAAAAGCTGAAGTAGTCCATCAAGTTGCTACTAAGATAGTTTATAGGTAACTCTTCTAAACCTTTGTGTCTTTCTAATCTGTACTTCTTTCTGCTTATGCAGTTTTAAGTATTTTCATTTTACTGTGGAGATGTCTTATGAACAATACTACTTTTGAAGAAGAAATTGTAATAGTCCAAGTACCAGAGTTCTTTTGGCAAGAAATAGTTTTTTGTTGCTTAAGTTTCATGAAAATCTATTCTGATATGAATATATATGTAACAAATACATAAATAAATTGGAAATTGGATGTGAAAATAAAGTACGGATATGTCAAACATCCTATTCTCCCATCCACCCAGTACCCCAGCCATTTCTTGCTGCAAAGTAAAATCATATGAAATGGATTTTCTGATTAGATACATAAAAAAGATTTTTTTTGTGTGTGTGTGTTCTTCAAGAAGCCATGGACCACTTAAATATATCTAAATTCTAGAATAAGATGAGAATAATTTCAGTTATTCATGTCTAGTTTGGATTTATTGAAGCTCAGAATGGGAACATATAAAATATTGAAAATTCTGATGGAATAAAAGAAGTGACTCCTACTTCTAGAGACAGTTTTTATATGACTGTAATGTAAGTAGAAAAGGTTGGAATAATTATCCTTTTAGTTAAATACAAATGAATTCCCAGCATGGCTGGACAGAAGAGTATCTCACGTCTGGTTCCTGCAATTTTGTGCATATCTTTCTAAGACTGAAAATGTGCTTGCAGTGAATGTACTTATGTATGTAATGAAGGAGAATGGGTGAATAGTATTGCAGTGGAGAATTATGTGATTTTTGAGATCTTCCTTTTTTTGCAGTTATTTCATTTGCAATTTATTTTCTCCCTCTTTGAATATCTTTAGGATACAAAGTTATTTGCTTCTGTTTGACAAGCTAGGCTTTTATAGAATTGGCAACTAGAGGATTAGAAGACAGGTACAGAGCTATAAAGGATTCATAGAAGTAATTTTAAAAATTAGGTTTACAGCTTCTAAGTTTTACGTTTTGTTGTCTTGAGTTTCGTGTTCTATGGATCTGCCACCTTAGATAAGAAATATTATGAATTTATTTTATTTTAATATAAATAAATTATTCTAGGGGCAATAAAAAGTAATTGGGGGAGGGGATTGTTGAGGAAATATTTTTGAGGAATACAAACAAATAGATGACTAAAGATCCATATATATTAGATAAATGTGAGAGTCATAAAATGTGAAATTTAGCTAGGGCAGATAAAGGGGTTCTACTTGATTTCAAGGGTTAATTTCAAGCTTGGTATAAAACAGCTGCAGAGAGTAGGAATACAGAGTGAAAAGAACTTTTTTTTTCCTCAAAGAGATAAGTTATTTCTTTCCCCAAGGTTTTACTTCAATGCATTTTTATGATTCCTGGGCTTTGCAAAATTGAATTGCATTTTTCTTATTCTTTTCATGTCTGAATAAATCCAAGGTAAGATAACCTTTATGTAAATGGCAGTTATATTGCATTTAGAGCTACAATGCACTTCTTCAGAGCAGGATTTGTGCTCAGGATTCGTAAGAGCCTGGAGAAGGATGGTGGGACTCCTGGGATACGCATTTGAAAAAACAGATACAAGCATTAGTTGTTTAAATTGCTGTCAAGGCATTGCAGTCAGCTGGTGCAGCGGGAAAGCCTGAAGACAAAGTCTGCCATAATTACAGTATTTTCCTTTTAACAAGTAACAAAGGAGGAGGAAATATTCTTGCGTATATTTCCCTGTGGTGGGTTAAGTTTGGCTAAGGGCCAGTTCCCTACCCAGCCAGTAGGATGACAGAAGAAAATAGGAAGTAAAAGCTTGTGGGTTAAGATGAAGACAGGGCAAAGCAGACTTGACTTGGGGAATATTAGTTTAATGTATTTCCAATTAAAATAGGTTTAGGTGATGAGAAACTAAAAGAAAGACATTAAAACCACACTTTTCCTCCTCCCTTTCCTGGGCCAAACTTCACTCCTTCACTTCAGACTCCTCTCCCCACCTACTGAGCAGTGCAGGGGAGACAGGGAATGGGGGTTTGTGGTCAGTCCATTACAGGTCCTCTCTGCCCTTCCTTCCTCACCACACTTTTCACCTGCTCCAGTGTGGGATCTCCATCAGCTACAGTCCATCCCAGACATACTCACCTGCCCTGGTGTTGATCCTCCAGGAGGTGCATGGGATATTGCCTCTGGAATTTCACCATGGGCTGTAGGAGAGTATCTACCCAGAGTGTGGAGCACCATCTCCTTTGACCTTGGTGTGTACTCTGCTGTTTCCCAGTCTTCCTGTTCTCTGCTCTTCTGCCTGTGTGGTGTTGTGGCTGCCTCTTCCTGATCTATGTTTCCTCCAAGGTGCCCCCATTTTGGCTGAAGAGCCAAAAAAACATGCCCTTGTTTTTGGATCCAGGTGGAACCCCCTGTGACTGACTCAGGGCAGCCCCAGCCTCTCCTCACCGAGGCCACCACACTGCCAACACATTGGCATGGACATCCAATACAGTCCTAATCAACTAAAATATTTTGGAAGGTAGGGAAGGAGGCTTGCAGTTTCACGTGCACACCAAAACCCCACTTTTGTAAAATAAGACTTACAAAAATGCATAAGCTAGGATTCAGTTGGCTGTTCCTTAGAGGCTAGTTTTGTTTACTAGACAGTCCAGGTTATGGTTGGGCTTTACGAGTGTGGACTTTTCAGGAAAGCTGCTCTTTTAATTAGGGCAATGTTGTGAGCAGGGTATGTAGCCAGGGATAATGTTCTTCTGTGTCTTCTCCATTGAATAATGTTGCAAATGTTTTCCTTGCATTTTTCCACAATTTAGATTGCAAGGGGATAATTTGGCAGAAAGGCCAGAAGATGTCTCCATGGTATCTCAGACATCTGAGCCAGCAGTGTCAGACTCTGATGGTAAGTTATATAAATATTTGCTGCTCATAAAAAAGCCCAAACATCAACATCTTGAATTTGAGAGTAGAGGTTATGTCTGTAAAAGATGAAACACTTCCAAGAGAGTGTTCCTGATTTGAACTCAATCATTTGCACTTCAAATCTGTTCAAAGAGCCACTAACATATTTTTTGTCATGGCCAATTAGCACTTCGGAATAATTCCTAGGCATATTTTGAGAGGTACATTGGGCCAGAATTTGTTCTTAGTAGACAGATTTTATGTTAGCACACTGACATTTAAAGCAGCTTAATAGCATAGACGTGGGCTGTTCATTGCTGCTTTTATGCCAAAGAATGGTCTTTGAAATATTTAATTTACTACTACAGATGCATCCAGATGAGTCAAATGATTTACAGTAGAAATAAAGAGTTTATAAAATAACACTGAAAAACACTTTTTCTCCTCATACAAACGTGTTCATATGTTGTGTTAATCTGCAGTCAGGACACTCAGACTTATTTCAATTTCTTCTCAGGTTTTTGAACCGAGTAACACCTGAAATGTTGAAAAAGGCACTTCATAAGGGATATCTTTCCAGAGAATGCCCAGCTTTCCTATGAAAGATAAAGTTGGTGAAGGTTAGCTTTATCTTAGCTGCCACTGTAATGCAGAGAGAAAGAAATAGAGGTTTTGACAGAGAATCTGCAAAGATAAATCTTTCAGTCCATTCCCTTACTGTTGGGCAGAACCAGCCAAGTCTACAAATTGTATGTTTTGATTTGCTGTATAGTCTTCAGCAGCCATGGACAAGTTAGCTGTAGTGATCAATTAACACCAAAAAAATCCCCAGAATGTATTTTTTTTTTAATTCTACTCTCTTTTTAATTTAATCCTACTATCTAGCTACCTAATCTAATGCTATTGTATGTGTTGTTAGGTATCATAGCAACCTGAGCTTTCACTCATTTCTCTTGCCTAATTTTTAAAACAACCATTAGTAACTTATATGTCTTTAAAGATAAATTTTTCAAGCTGGTTTTGTGAGAATGTGTGGTTTCATGCAGTAAAGAAATTGGCTTTTCCTTTTATCTGACATTGATCACTTAACTGAGCAAGGCAATAGGACACTCAGAATCTCAAAACATGATGTCCTTACAATTTTCATGAAGATTGTCAGCAAGAGATGCTCAGATTGGTGACTTCAATCAAGCCCTGTGAAAAGAAGGCAAAATTATCTTGTTGTGAGAGTGATTCCTAGATAGGGAGGTGGTGGTGGGTTGCTTGAGATAGATAAGGGAATATGCATGCATGAGATTATTGCAGCAAAAGCAAATAGATGAGTAAGGCAGATATGTGGGAAAAAGTTCTACAGTTCACAAAATAGTTTTTGGACAGATCTCATCCTTCCATTTTCCTTCCTGTGTACCTTTGCTCTTGAAGTGAAAATAATGCCCACTTTGCCATGGCATCTTCTGAAATTGCAGTTTCAATTAGATAGCTAGGTTTTGCTAAGTAGCAGAGGCACCAGGAAGGTGAAACTATCAGAAAGTACTGGATACTGTGTAATATTGGAGCTGAATTCTTCACGGTCACCAGGTATGGAGCACAAAAGTGCTATAGGTGTTCTACCTTCAGCCACTTCATGTGCTTCTGAGTACTCTGCAGTCAATATGGCTGCAGAGAAGATGGAAGATGCTTTCTTTAAAAACACCACAACCAATAAAATACAGGAAGAAAAATTTAGATAGGTCGGTGGGGCAATAACATTCATGTTGCTATAAACATCTATCTCATGTCTATGAATATACATGGATCTGTTAGTCTTATAGCTAGAAAATAACAAGGCCTCTTGGGCAAATAGACTGAGGTCAACAGTCAGGTAATGCCAAATTTCTGTCAAGAGGTGCCCTCAGAAATGTTCAGTGTTTCAAAACATATGGTAGGATCTTTTTTTCCTAAAGTGTTGGCTAGTGTTACACTTTGATTTGAAAAAAAAATACAGCTGGATTGCACAAGTAGGTACAGACTATAAACTGACAGAGAGCTCAGGCAACTGCCCATTCTATCAATCTTTCCTATAAAAGCAGCATAATATTTGCTCTCTTTGCATTTGATACTTATTTCCAATAAATAGTATATATGAAAAGATGATAAAAAAACCTCATAAAGTTATTGTTAAAAAACCCTAAGCAACCTAGGCGTTGTTGTACTGAATTCTTAGTTATGTCCTCTTACAGATGTATTACATCATGAAATAGTGACTATCAGGCTTCACTTACCAGGTTTATTTGAATTTATGTTCTGCTGTTGTTTATCAGTACTAGTGACCTTAATGAGGGAAAACTGTGTATTGGGAAGTGCTGTTGCAAATCATTCATTCAAGAATAAGCAAGCAAAGTGCTGATGCACAACGAAGTTGAGAGTAGCTTTCTTTAGATAATGATCTGTTTCTGTTGTTAGATCTGGAACATCTCTCCTGTGAATTTCAGATAAACTAAACTCAGAAGTAATTGGCAGAACATCTGATCTAACAGCCCTTATAAATAAGACTCATTTTAAGCAATTCCACTTGCTAAAGTTAATGCAGTAGCTTATGTGAAGAGATCACGTGCAGCATCAGACACTATTCTGACTCCACTGGCAATCTGGATCTGGTTCTAATTAACCACTACACTGATTTCCCTCTAGTATAATCCTGCTGAATTGGACAGACTTGTGTTGGATTTAAGTAGTAAAAATGAGAGGTAGGAATCAGGTCTCAAGACTGAACACAAGACACTTTAAAGCTGCAGTTTCTTTTAACTGTCCTAAACTATACCTCTCAAAAATGTTTCCCTTTTCCATTAGACCACTTCACCGGAAAGAACTAAGGGAAGAATTTAATAGGTTCCTGATTTTGACTAGATGCAGCAGCATACATGACTGCACAGCAAACTTCCCCTGTAGATGCCAAGCTTGTCTGGTTTGTCTCTTTGGTCAGTTCTCCACTGAGCTTTGCTCTTGTTCTGTAGCGGTAGATGGGGAGAATGGCTGAGGCTTCTAAACACACTACAACAGAGCGGATCCAGAAAAATCTACATCCATCAGCCCCCACTTTGCTTTTCAGGTTGGGGGGATTATAGAAGTAATATACTTCTACATTTTTTGGGGGGGTTTAAGATATGTAGAAACAGTATCGCTAAAGGATAATTGTTCATTTACTCCCAGTTTCCTGTAAGTACCATACAACCTTGTTTCATTTGTTTCATTCTCTTCTGCTGAAATGTACCTTACCCTTTGAGTGAAGCCATGATACAAGGCAGGAAAAGAAGACATTATTGCAAATAAAGCTTTTGCAGTCTATGCATTCTTGTAGAAGTAAGTTTAAAATGCAGTATCTTATTAGAGAGTAATCTCATAATATAGGAGAAAAGTATAAGGCTTTTAAACCACTCCTCAAATTATCTGAGAAAATCTGTTTATTATGTGAGGTTCTTTGCAGTGTATTGTGTAATTCCACATATTCCTAAGGTGTGAGCAGAGATTGTTTCTTTTGCGCCTCTGCCTGGAATAATATTGATTATATGATAGGTTCTGTGGTACTATGCCACTGTGTAAATGTGGTATTTCCTATTTTATTGTGCTATGACATCTACAGCTCTATAGATTATATTGATATATAATACTTTGCTAAATAAATTTTGCTACAGCGAAGTTCACATCAGTACTTTATTCCCTGTCAAACAGGAGTCACTGGTTTTTATTATTTGCAGTTAGCTAGTAAAAACGAGAAAAAACTAAAAAGTATAGTTTGCATAGTTGGGCATTTTGGTTCTGGTTTGTTTGTTTATTTTTGTTTGGTTGGGTTTTTTTTCCTTTTAAGTGTCATTATAATAAAAAGTTCAAAAGAGACATTAGGATGTAGAGGAAAAGTTTGGAATTGGGGACGTTCGATAAAAACATGGGCATATGAAACACATACACTGTTGTTCTGGTGGAATTGCATGACCAGAGTAAAAAATTAAGGATGCAAGTATGTGGGAATTAGGACTGAGAACCAGATAAGGCAATGGCAAAAGTGTGGCATCATCTCCCAGTTCCCAAACGATTTCCTTACCACAGCTTTGCATTATCATCGCTTCTTCACCCTCCACACCAATTTGTGTTTGCAATGAATTGGTAACTACAGTTGCCATGTTTCACAGTAAGTTCTGCTTTCACAGTAAGTATAGTCTGAGATGTTTAACATATTGGGTTCTGGAAACATAAGGACCTCACTGCTAAATGTCTGAATAACAGCAAAACGTAGGGAAGATCAGAACGTCTTGTTTTACTAGGCTGCTGATGCAGCATCTGAGTGCTTTAGCAGAGTGTTGGGCAAAGAGTGAAGCTGCATAGAATGTTACTTGGAATTTATTTCTCTGACATGGGCGCATAAAATCTATTTTAAGTCATTACACATGCATCAAAGAGACATTTTAGACTCCTCACAAAATTCTGACATTTTACAGATGTGGCATTATGGGCAAAAATTATACTTGCAAGGCTTTGAAATGTTGTCTAAATTGACCAAATCTTTTTACTTCAGGAATTTTAACTGAATTAATTGAATTTAGTTTTATTCATCTTATTAAAGCTGGAGATCCACTACTCACTTTTGTAAAGGGTAAACAGTATTTAGTTTAAATAGTAAAGGTAATGAAGATCGTAGAAAATACCTTGGCAGCTGCAGGAAGCTTGCTTATCACTCTAGTTATGTTAGAGACACTGTTCCATGTTGCATTAAGGTTGTAAATTAAAATCAGACATAAATTATAATCCATTGAAATGTAACTGAAAATTAGTACATTTACAGTAACCACATTTACCTTCCCAGCAGTAAATTTTTAGGCATTAAATTTTCAAGGTGACTAATGCTTACTTGATTAGTGATTTACATTTCTCCTGTGCCTCTTTGGAACAGCTCAAGTACCTGGGGTTGAAACACTCACAGAAGATATTAATGAGTTTCAGAGTGCTTCTCAAGTGGCAGCATCTGTAAGTACCTTTCCTTATGGACAATGGACAATACTGTAATTTTTAAAATTAGTTTCATAAAAAGTAGATTTTGCACAGAGATAAAAGTTGTTTTTTCCAGCACTATCATGCTAGAGAGAGGAAAACTAAATTGACGTAACCCTTCTGAATTTTCAGTTCTCTGTTTTAATTTTTTCATTCTAGGAAAGGTGGTATTTTGAAATACATTATTATAATCTACAAAACCACATATTGTTGGGCTTTCCCATTAAAAGCACAGTAATTTTATACATATGCTATATGTTTTTAAATGCTAGTCAAATATTACCAGGTAGTATTCAATTTTATAAATTGAAGAGAATAAAATAATTCAAAGTCTAAATTTCATTCTGAAATATGAAATTGTAATATCTCAACTGTAATTTAGATTTCTGTTACTATTTGCTTGAAAACCAATAAGAGCAGTTTAGTTAAAATGTATGGCTAGTTTATATGTAAATTTTAAAAGAATGCAATACTATTCTTGGAAATATCTCCATCAGTTGTTTTATTTTGAAATTTAAGAAAATCTTTGCAGATATGCAGTTTATGGAAAACGTAACTGCCAGTAGAATAATTTTAAAGAATTATGTAATCATGATTTTGGTTCTACTGGTGTTGCACCAGGAGTTTGAATATAGGGTAAAGAAAAGGGATTGCTTTGTTTTTTCCCTAAGGCAAATAAATTGACAAAAGTGTTAATTTTTGCAAAATTTTAGAAAGTATAAGAGGACACATTAGTTCCTGTTCAGTCTGTTCAGCAATACTGGTTTATAGCACACTTTAGTGTTGGTATAGGAAGTGAAAGAAGGGCTCGGTATTTGTTAGGCAATATAAAGAAAGGAGAAAAATGGCAACGCAGATTGGTTTTGCAGTCTTTCAGTCAGCTGATTATGCATTGTGAATAAAGATGGATAGTACTGAACATAAAGTATTTACAACCAGATTATTTATCAAAGCAGTTGAGAGGTATTGAGTTCCAGATCAATTCCTAAAGCTCTTTGAGAACTTCTTGGAGTGGAAGAACCTCACAGAGCATTTGCTGATATTGGGTGAAAAAGCTAGCATTATTTGGAGCTTCTTTTTCAAATCTCCTTTCTGCTTCCCACCAGCAAACAGAGGGGTAAAATAAATTTTGCAGCAGTTTCTGAACTCACATTTTTGATTTGGACTCATAGCTACAAAGTTTGATTTAGTAATTCTGCAGATGTGTAACATAGGGCGAGAGAAACTAATTGAATTACATAGAAAAAAATACAAAGAAAACAGAAGTTCATTATGCTTATTACAAAATCTTGTTACAGAAAGGTACAGCCTTCAGCTGAACAGTTTTACGCGTATGCTCTGTCTGTGCAGGCTTAGGAGCAAACAAACAATATGTACCTGTGTTCATTTCATGCTCTGGTAGTTCCAGGCTTATTTAAGGTTGCCTGGAGGATGAAACTGCCAGAGGCAGTAAGATTACCTGGGCTGAATCCCTGAAAGCCACACTGGCTGATGCAGTAATTACAGTGCTGCAAAGAGAAGACAAGAGCGGTTGTGGCTCTTGCTCTGCCTATCCATCCTCTCCTCAGGGCAAAAGCAGATCTTTCCACATCCCCGAGCTCTTGAAAAAGTACTTTGCCTAACTTTCTAAGGAGCCAGTTGCTGTTAGTTCATATGCTGTGGGGTTGTTTTTTTTTATGTATTGTGTCTTAATGTTCTTGCTTACATAGTGTGTAGCTAGATGATTGTGTACTTTTGTCCCTTTATAAAGGCTTGATATTCAAAATGAAATTCAACTATCCAACACGTTGTCTGTAATTGTATCTCCTCAAAAAGAAACAAATGATCCAACTGTTCTCATTGCCTTTCAGGGCTCTGAAGGAGAGATATGTTCCAGGCTCCCCAAATATTTTTCAGTGAGATTTATTCTTTGACAATCTTGACATACAAAATATAGTGATAAAACTGAGATGCCTCATAGAAGGCTGTGTAGATAAATGCAATCTTGCATTTATCATGTATTTCCACAGTTCTTCGAAACAGTTAGAAAGATTCCTGTAAAATTACTTCAGAATTGATACCAAATTGTATTCTCATGACTTTAATGATTTTTAGATATTTCATGAGATACAAGATGAGGGAAAAATAGAATAAGATGTTGATCAGACATTTCTCATAAATTTGACAAACTGATTCATGTTATTCACTCAAGTGTGCATATTACAAGTAAAAATTCCTGACATGGTTCAAGGTGTGCAATGTTTAATATTGGTACTGCATTCCAATAGGGTAATTTGTATTTGTTGCTAGTTAAATGGATGATTATATAAATTTTTCTCTGCTAATGTATATTTGACAAATTTTCCTCAAAGATGCCTCGGCCTTCAGAGGATAAGTGTTTTGAGAAAATTTGTAGGACAAAATAGCAAGAATTATGCATAAGGATTTTCAGAAAAAAAGCCATTTGGGTTCGTTTTATTCATGTCCCATGTATGAATCCACATGTAAGATCTTTAATGTGGATACTAAAACAATCTGGGTACGAGTACTCAAAAGAGATAGGCAACATCTATATCTATTACATGTAATAGATGTATTACACTATGCTTATATTATTATTTTCTTGCAGCTTTGTATATGTTTACTGTTCTATTTCTGAAAAATCTTTTATTTTTGTCAGACCTTTTTCTTTATATTCTTAAAAATAGAATCTTTTGCTATGCTGTATTTTTCATAAAAAGAGTTAATGTTTGAAAAACTGAGAACTTTCATTGCTGCACAACCCCAAACATTCTGGGCAAATAAGTGAGTAGAGCTGGCAAAAAGCTGGTTGAGGTATTTACAGGAATCAGCACTTTCCCCAAGTGTTTTGTAAGGATTCAAAGTGGAAGGAAGCATTCAAAGCATCCTTAGAGATCCTAGTTTACTGCCTGGCAAATATTTTGTGTAACAAAAAGTGCCAGGCAAAATGCAAAATCTTTTTATTGAGATTTTTTCACTGTGGTGAACACAAAGTTTTCTACCCAAATGTTTAGAACATTTCCAGAAACATAAAGTAAAATAAGACTAAGAAAATAGAGAAGTGGTACTAGGAAAAATTTAAGTGTCCTGGAATTCTAGCAGAAATGGAAAATCAGGGTGTCAGAGGAAGCTGCTAACTTTTCCGTGACTAACAGGTAGAAACAGGGCACATGCACTGAGAAGATCACATCGAGTAGCCTTTGCCTCTCACTGACTTGTTTCTTTCACCACCTGGATCTAACAGGACTTATGCTTAATTTTTGGGATATTTTATGTGAATCTTGCCCTGTACATGCACGTAAAAAGGTATTTTTTTTCTTTGTAAATTATCCATGTAAGGCAAATCAATCCGAGTGCAGCAGAAACTGGAAGAAAAATGTTGTCCAACTGCAAAAAGTGTTTCTTCTGCATGAATGTGCCTTGGGTTTTTGTTATTTATTACTGTGGGAAAAATACTGTAATAAAGTGATTTATAGAAGTGTTTTGTTTTAAATAAATTTATTCCTGTATTCCCTACTGCTTTGGAACATTTCATTTGCTTTCATAGAGGAAATACAGACATGGATTTTCTGTGATAAATGCATAAATTCTTTAATTCAGTTTGTAAAATTACTTGAAGCTTCATGCACAAGGAAGGACTAAGCTTTTATGCTTGCTGTCAATATATATTGAATACAATAATGCAATATTACATGATTTCAGTTCTATTTGCTAGAAATTTTCATAGCTTTTCCCATTTTCCCCCTAGCATAATAATATGAAGTAACTTAATTATTTGTTTGAGTATAATCAACAGAAATCATCCAAACTTCTGCATTTAACTAAATCTGTAAATTTACTGGGTTGGGCTCACCGTTTAGTATTTAGCAGGTTAGTCATTCAAATAGTTATTTTAAGATCACCCTGCCACATCAGAAACAACAGCAGTTCACCTTTTCAATATTAAGAATTATATAGGTCATATTTATATCATATTTATGTTCAAATTAGAGATTTATGAACATATTTATGTTCAAATTGGTATGTTCTGATACAAAAGTTTTCAAATCCAAGCTGGATTTTTTAATTATGTAAAAATTCAGGGACTTGAAGGTGAAATTTCAAATTTTAACTTCAAAATTTAAATATTCTATAAAAATAATAACAGTTAATATTAGATTACTTCAGCTCTTCCACAGGTAGTAAAAAACACCCTACACAAATGTATAAGCTTTACCACTGTTAAGTAAGTTAACAATACAAGACGGTTAGAAAAACATAATATCAAGGTTCTTGGGAAATAAGTGATATTTCCTTGGAGTAGTTAAGAAGGTAGTTTGAATTGCATACCCTGAACCTACTTGTTTGAGACCTCCTTTATGTCAAATAAAATCTACAAACTAGACATAGATTTTGTATATATAGCTAAAAAAAAAAAATCTACTTGGGTGAAAATATTCTTATTTGCAAATATTTAGTCCTCTAAACCATAATTGAAAAAAATATTCTTAACTTTAGAAAAATATTCATGACAAAAGGAAATCAATTAATTCCTTGTTTTTACCTGTCTAAAATTTTGTGTTCTTGGGCATGAAAAATTCAGAAAGATTAGTCCAAATAACAGTAAATAATACAGAACTGAAGTTTAGAAAAAAATTATTCAGGTTGCATTTCAAAAACTGAAACAAATGTGATTCCCAGGTGTCCACATATTTCCTGCTTCCCTCTTTCCTGTAAACAGAAAAACTATGTGTGAGTTAACTCAGACTACCATTTTTTCAGTGTAAGGTTTAGTGTAAAATGTGCTGCTGGCTGCCTACCAGGGGAAGCCAAAAGCTTGTAATTTCAATTACACGGCATTTCAAGTAGAACAGGCTCTAATGTGGAAGGGGGGATTAGAGGTGGCAGCCGATATTGTAACAGAGCTCTGAGAAGCCTTATATCTTTACAGTATCAGATGGTTTGCTCACCTTATGTCCTTGAACAGATTATGGAAGCTGAAAGATTAAATATTAAGTGACCGCTTTACAGAAAGTACATGTTGAGTGAAGAATCCTTGAACAAAATACTGCACAAAAAAAAAAAGTCCACTGCATGCAGAACATCTGTACTCGCCACCTGCTTGACCAGAGTGGAAGGGACACTTGTAAACAGAGTTCAATAAAGAGGTTTTGTTTGGTTTGGTTTTATTTTGTGGTTTTTTAGTTTTTTGGTTTTTGTTTTATTTAGAGGTATCTCTGTCAAACGTGTCTATTTAAGATATTTAAGTTATTCAGCAAAAAAAAGCTATATCATAGAAAGCTAAGCCCAGGTGCATTCCTTACACTTTTATCTCCTGAAGCTACCAATAAAATTTCCACTTGATTAGTAAAAACATGTAGAATCAAAAGTACAATAAAAACATTTTTCATATACTTACAGCTTGCCAGGAGCTAACTAATTTGGTTTCACCTTTCTCTCATTTCATTGTTGTAATTCAGTTTAGGCAGTCTTCCATGTGGGCATGCACCAGAATACCTAGATTTTACTCTGGGAGGGGCCAAAATGGCCTAGAAATACATGCTGAATAGTTTATGAAGACCTTTTATAGTCAGTAAGGAAGAGTAATTTTTGAACAAATACTTGATTTCCAGGTGATGTTGTAAATAAGTTGGTGCCCTAACTCTTGATTTTAGATGTTCTGAAAAGCTGTACCTTTGTAGAACTCACCAGGTGTCACTGGGTATTACATAGCCCAGGTCAATTCAGCTCGATGGTGAGATCAAGATATTCACATCTGCACTCATGGTTTTTTTAGGGACAAAACTCTACTGATTCATGCTGTGTAGCATTGTGCTGCAGATTGAAGCACAGAGAGTGACCTTGGAAAAAGTTTCTTGCTCTTATTCATGACCTCCTTAATTTTATTTCCGTTCCATTGTGGCAATCCCAGTAAGTTATGGTATTTTCCTGAAGTTTGGGGCATCAGTGATGAGAGGGATTATCTCTGCCCTTATTGTGTGTAATTTTTTATTTTAGCAGTAATTTTGCTAAGATATATAAAGAAGAAAAGAAAGCAATAATTAAGGTATTATATGTGAAGAAATTACGATGATATATAAAAAAAGTCACTTAAGAAATGGACACACAGCTGACCTTTGAGGTTGACAAATGTATGCCAAATATGTTTGTTAGAGCTCACTGCCTCACCCTCAAAATTTGAAGATGATGAACAGGACACAGAGTTGTTTCTACAATTTAGAAAGACAAGAATGTCTTTCAGTAACATCCTCTTACTTAGATCTCATTAATCTTGTTAATGCAAATAGGCCATTTATAAATTTTGTGCTAATATTTATAAAGTGCAATGAATGAGCAAGAGCAATGGTACTTTGGAAGATGCTGAAATAATTGGAAGGATTCTATGCACATACTTCATACATACATGCTATATTTTTCAACTACATTCAGTCTGCTGTGATTATCATTAAAGTCTAAGATAATTGACGTTAGTGTTTCATCTTTGCAGTTCCTGGCTGGAAGACAAAGGGTAAGTTTTGGTGAAGTGTAGTAAGAATGTTTAAATAAATGGTCTGCAAGCCTGAATCTCTTTCTTAAGTGACATATCTGAACTGCTGCTATGTATCCAGTGGAGAGAAGAGGCATCAGGGAATTCTGCTAGAGCTGTACAAATTCATTTATCCTTGCATTTGAACTGACGTGCTTCCAAAGCCTTCTTGATAACGTTCCCTACTTTCAGCTTGTGTTTGTATTTTAGGAATAAGATTGTTGCACAAATTGTTTGCTGGAGACACTGAGAACCTCTGTCTGTTTATGCATTATGCACCTAGGTGAACTCATAGTCCCAAAATGTTAAAAAATTTAACATTTTTTAATGCTCATTATTATTTAGAAATATATTAAAAAATTACCTAGGCCTGTCTCCAAAAATGTTGTTGATTATAGTCATGGAATATTTAGCTTCAGAGAAAGAACAAAAAATGGTTACAGTACAGTTTTAATGAATTCTTATGCCCTTTTTCCCCCAGTCATTTTGATTCTCTATCAAATAAGCATTTAATTGGAAGATACTGTTATTAAAAGCACATAATTTGTTATGAAATGAAATTTCTAATATTAAATATCTTCCATAGATACTATAGCAATACTGTTCTGATCTTTTGTGTAGCAATTACCTGATAAAATGTCATAAGCATATGATATTGCATAAAATAGAAGATGCTCAGGAAGAATTATAAAATTTGGGGGAAAATTCATCCAAAGTTATCTGTTTCACAGGGTGTTGGAACTATGTATCTGAAAGGGAGTTTGAATATGTAACCATAGAGAGCTTCCTTTATTCAGTCACCTTTGTTTTGTATGAGCCTTACACGGCCACTGTGCATAAAGGGAAGAAGTACAGTGAAGGCAAAATGTACAAAAAAATCAGCAGAGGTTTCTAGAAAAGAAAGATAACTCCATTTCATTTCCAGAAGCATTTCCAGGACATGGAAAGTGAAATCTCATCAGTCTAACCTTTGGAAATATGTTTTAAGGAGGTCAGGAAGATACTGAAAGCTGATAATTTGCTATAATAAACTTGAATAGTCCGATGTAAGAATATTCTAATATTCATTTGGTTGTCAAGTATTGCCACAGACCACTGACTAATATTTATTCCATATTTTATCACATTTGTATTTATGAATGAAATTGTATATTCAAAAAAGGATTAATCCTTATAACCCTGAGGTTTTTTCCTTATGCTTTTTTTCAGATATTAAAAAATATACCCTATAAAATGCAAATAAAAATATACTTTTTCCACCATAAAAATCTGGGGACAGAGAATATCTAAAAATAGGTTGAAAAATGAAAAATTTGAGTTCTCTTATATACCTCTTCTCCCTTCTCTTATTTAGTTTCATTTATTTCAGAGGTACTGATCACAGAATAATATATTCTTTCATTTAGAGATAGATATTGGATAATTAATATCCATTTGAAATAAGAATTTAGGAATATAATTTAATAGAGATTAATATGCTGTAGTGAGCTCAACAATCCCAGTTATTTGGATAGAGAATTCACAGTGAGTACTCAAGTGAAAAATGCTCAAAACCTCTTGGGGGAACAGGCGAATCAGATCTAGTGATATGTCTGAAATAAAAATACTTGAAGGTGAGTTCACTTCTGAGTAATGTACTGTTTCATTCAGCTATTCTTCTGTATTTGCATGGGATTAAATACAGGTAATTTTAATCAGGGAAGAATCAGCATAAAAAACATTTGGCAAATAAAAAAATGTTACTGTTCTAATAACTTTATGTATTAATAAGGACAGAGTTATCTGCAGCTTCAAACTATTTTATATGCTGGTAAACATGACTGGGCTTTTTTGCATAGGCACAAACAGCATTATGGTATAGCTGTTGCTCTAAAAATATAAATCCGTGCTATCATATTTTAAAGATGCATGGTTCACAATGATCACTTGTATTCAAAGCAGTGTTTATTTGGAAGAGGTTAGGAATGATGTAAAATAGATCCCATATAACATTTTACTTCTGCAGAATTTTGCCTACTTTTCTAAAAGGGGCAATTTTGTTTAAAGCAATTTTTTTTTTTTTTTGTGAATAGAGATGATATCAGACCTATATTTTTGTGTTCATCCTTTGAGCTGTGTTGCACCTTTCTATGTCGGATGAGGGTCTGGCCAGGGAAGGGCTATCAACCAATGATCCGCAGCAGCCCGATGTCAGCTGCGATGCAGCTCCAGCCTGACGGACTGTGGAGTCCCGTGTGCCCCATGTGAATGGGGCCACCAGTTTGGCTCTCCCTCCTCTGATCAATCATTCTTCTCCCTGAAATTGCTTCAGCTTAATGTCTTTGAAACACTGGCCTCTCTAAATTTGCCCGGTATTTAAAGAAAGTTTTTAAAATTAGTAAGAGTGAATGACAATGGCCATTGCATAAGCCTTGTTTCTTTAGGAAACCAACAAAACTTCCTAGACTACAGATGAATTGTTTTGATGAGTTAATAATGTAAAATGTATTTCAGATAAGCTGTCAAGAATTATTTGTCTTTTTCTTTGTTGTTTTAATTTGGTTTATTTATGAGCAAGTCTCACACAATTGGTCAGATGTTTTACTGTGTGTTTCACAAAAACATCTATCAAGTTTACCTCATAGTATATTTTACAAAAATTTCCTGTAACTATATTGAGCGGGTTCCAGAAAAAGGAAATAATTATGAGTACCATGGTGTTCAATAAAGAAGAGAGTGAGACTCACTGAAAACCCTTTCAAACTGTTATGTTGCCCTGATGATTTAGTTGCCATTTCTGAAAGGAATACTTCTTGCAGTGACAAAACAGTACTGGAAATTTTGATTAGGAAATTCTATGATATTCCCAGAAGTGCAGCTTTTCAGCGATGCTGAGCCAAATGTTATGGTAATTTAAAGTAAGTGTAATGCTTACTAAGTAATTGGAACTGCAGAGAATGTAAATCATTGAGGAATTTGTCCTGTTATGATGTCTCAGCATAGAGCAAGAACTTACGTGAAGGTGTATATTTCAGTTATTTTAGAACTGCTTCTTCTAACTAATTCCTATTATTTATTTTATGTATGTTAAAAAATGATATTTTGCAGTATTTTGCATAAAATTTTATATATTCTACATAATAAGCACCAGATTCCTGACCCTAGATGGGGACACCACTTTTTATTGCTTCATATATAAATATGAAACTGAATTAAAAGTAATCCATTTTCTTTTTATCTGTGTAAGTCTCAGACGGTTTGGACCTTGGATGCCGTGACTGTCAGACCTGGAGGTTCCCCAAGGCAGAAACTCCTAAAGGACTCCTTAGCAGCAAAAGAACTTCAGACCATGGAAAAACACCTAGCTGGTATGTATGGGATCAAGGAACCATAAAATGCCTAGAAGTACTCACCCAGTTTGCTCTGCCAGTATTTCAGACGAAGGAAAAAGTTATCTAACTCACATGCCAATTAAAATAGATGAAAACTTTATTCTTTTTTTCATTGAAGAAAACACAATTAGTGTTTTATTTGTAGATGTAATGAACTTCACTGTAATCACAGTAAGTACACTATTTAAACAGTAATTAAACCATGTTAAATATGCTGTGGTCTTAAAGCATAATAATGCTCCTTTTGTTTTGTTTTCATATTTTACCCAGACTTATGCAATAAGGAGGTACTGATGTTTTATTTACTGTTAAATAGTCTTTAAAAGCAGGGTGCAGTGGATCTTTAACTGGAGAATAGATTTCTTTGCAGGAAAAACCTTGTTCATGAGAATTCTGGTTGAGTGAAACCAGTTAATTTGGAACATCTGCAACATCTTTGATGGGGTAACCATTTGTGAAAAGTTAAACAAAAAAAAAAAAGGCATGGGGTTTTGGTAAAAAGATGTTTCAGAGCTTTGTAAAAATTAATGAGGAATATTCTAAAATTTAGCTTGCAATTTATTCTTCTTAGGAATCAATGTTTTCTATCTTCAGCTTTCATTAAAAGGTCTGACACAGACCTATAGTGTGGTAGTCCTATGTTATGCATGCCATTTGTCATGTGGTGAAAGCTTCATGGGCTAATTCTATAAAAAGTAATGCTTCACTGGAACATAAAGACTGTATATGTAAAATGAAAGTAGAAATGAAATTTATCTGATCATTCTAAGTTACTCTGAGAGTGAGGCAGAGAACACTTTTCATGTGATTTTTTTTGAAATACTGTGGAGATTTATCTTGCCAATAACAATGGTGTAAAGTGCTGTATCCTCTTTAGAAAGGGGGTGTTGCAGCTGAGGTCAAGGCAGATGACAAAGCTATGAGCACAGCGAGGGAAGCTTTTTAGGAATAGGTTTTGCTCATAGTGGAGCAAGAGCTAAAATTATGATACATGCAAAAGTAGTCTTTTTAGGTGGGTTTTGTGTCTGACAATATAGTTGCTGTATTTTATTTTATTTTTTTTTATATGTTCATAAAGCTTACAGCTATTAGAGCTGCAGCCACTGCCAAATTAGACTGAAAAATCCATGAGCCCTCTCTCTAAACTGAAACTCCCAGGAACATCTAGTGGGAATCAGGAGAGCAGTAAACCAGTATGTGGTTTCTGTAGCATAGCAGGGACCTGAGTACCCCAAGGGCCCTGATAGTGGTACTGAGGTACCACTTGTTTTCCCTTATGTTGTCACTCAGGAGGTGTCTGGTGAAGATCTCCCTACTTTGATTTATGTCCTTCTCACTTCCATGGTCATACAAGCTGTTCTTTCATGCATTATGCTATAAAAAATGCAGTCCTTTGGCAAAGCTGACAGTAATAACTACAATATTCAATAGAATATGGAATTTTAAATACTCAATTGACTGTAAACTAACTAGCTACATTCACTTAATTTCTGAGATTCCTTCTGCAGTTGTGTTACCCAAAAGATTTTCTCTCTCACATCAGTGCTGCTCCTGTCATTTGACTTTGGGCCTGTTATTTCAGTAAATCTGTAACATGAGGTTCAGCCATTCTAGCATTCAGTAATTTTTTTCTGAGAGCTTCACATGAAAACAGCCCAATTATTAGACATTGGACTATTGTATTCCTAATAATTCATGTGCTATTATAACCCCAGTGGTGCTTGAGACAATTACTCCCCTTAAAGACAAGAATAATGTAATTTCTGTGAATAATCAGTTCAGAGTACCTCAGATAATAATGCTGTGGTTTTGCTCAGCCTCATTTGTCTTACACATTTGCAAAAGTTCAAGTGTCTGTGATATCAGCAAGTCTCTTGTTTCAGTTATTTTAGCAAGCACAGTGGAACCTATTAATTCTACAAAATGGCTGCCTATCTAGGCAGTAATTTAGATGCCTGAGCTATGACTTGGATTACCTGTGTAATGATGAAATATGGCTTCCTGTCTCTGATACACCTTCTTAAGGGGCCTGGCCTTCCCATATGGACTATGTGCTGGATAAAAATCACTCCTATCATAAGGCATAATTTGGTGCCTGTGCCTAAAATAGGAGCTAGTACCAATTGCCAGCAAATGCCTCAGTACCTTGATATTTTAAAGCAGCAGTTTTAAAAAATCAGATACTGGAGCAGTTTTCTTTTCCTTCTCTACATATGGCTCTTTTTTTTTTTTTTTTTTTTTTTGTCTAAAATCCAAGCTCTTACGTTACTATGGCTGCTTTATATAACATGCAAATGGAGAATTTTTTTTTATTTTTTTTTTTTTTGGTAATTGATTCCAGTATCTTGCCAATTTGGTTTGTTGCACTGATTTTGTGGTCTTCGTATACTTCTGGAAAATATTTTATCACAAGAACTGTTAAAAAATAAACAGTTTTTAAGTGCATATGAATCATATCCTTATTCTGGATATTTTTTAATTTGAAAGCAAAATGCCTTTGTGTTGCTCTGTTGAATTTTATTTTCATTTAAATTACATCAACAAGGATTTTTAAAAATCCTAAATCATAATTCAATTGTATTATTTAATATGGATCAGATAATACTACAAAGCTGGGAATATGTGATTTCTTTTTATTTCTGGATGAAAAGCTTATATTAAAGCAAAATCAAACAGAAGATGTGTAAATAAAACTAAATAATTATGCTATGGAAACATGTTAATTATATGTAGAGTAATGATTATAATAATTGGTTTATCTGCCTGCTATGAAATTAAGTAAACATGAGCCAGCATATAATGTTTATTTAACACTTATTAAATCATTCAATATTCACGCTATTTCTTAGCATACTGAATTCACTACAGGCAAGTTGGGCATTTGTAATTTTGAAAAGAAATAGACTAAGTTGGTTTTTTACAAGACCATATTATTCATTTGGTTTAAATTAAGTAGCCCACAGTATCATTTATTGGCACCTGATTTTTTGCCAGGCATCTTACACGTTCTGCACCAAAAGAGGAGCAGGCAGCAGGTTAAGGGAGCTGCTTCTTCCCCCTCTAAGATCAGCTCAGTTGGTCAGAACCTGGTACTAATAATGCCAGGGTCTTGGGTTTGATCCCCATGCCGGCCAAACTGAAGAGTTTGACTTGATGATCCTTGTGGCTCCCTTCCAGTTCAGAAGATTCTGTGATTCACTACCCCACACTCACGAGACCACACCTGCGTGCTGCATTCAGCTCTGGGGCCCCCAGCGTAAGAAGGATGTGGACCTGTTTGGACAGGTCCAGAGGAAGCTATGAAGATGCTCAGTGGGTTGGAGCATCTCTCACAGCCTGAGACACTTGGGGTTGTTTGGCCTGGAGAAGTGAAGGCTACAGGGAGAGCTAATTGTGGCCTTCCAGTACCTAAAGGGGCTTGCAAGAGAGCTGGAGAGGCACTTTTTACATAGGTATGTAGTGATAGGACAAGGAATAAAGGCTTTAAACTGAAAGAGGAGAGATTTAGATTAGATGTTGTGAAGAAATTCTTGACTGTGTGGGGGGTGAGGCACTGGAACACGTTGCCCAGAGTAGCTGTGCATGTCCTGTCCCTAACAGTGCTCAAGGCCAGGTGGGATGGGGCTCTGAGCAACATGATTTAGTGGAAGGTATTCCTGCCCATAAACCAGGGGGGTTTGGAACCAGGTGACTTTTAAGGTTTCTTCCAGCCCAAACCATTTTCTGATTCTATGAAATTCCAAAGTAAAAGCATAGTGGAAGAGTCATTCAAGATACCATAATTTCAAAATGGACATAATTAATTTTAAGGGATCAATTAGAAATTTTCTTAATTGTGTGCTAGAAATATTGACTATGTTTTAAAATTTGCTAACAGAAAAATATTTAATCTTTAAAAAGTTGTGAGACACTTTTATCTGAGGCTTTCACAACTATTTCAGTTTTACTAGCTTTTCTAATGATAGTATTTCAATTGTGTACAATATGTTGTATTAGACTAGTAACATGAAATTGTCATGGCTTTTTTTCCTGTTTTCAAGATCTTATAAAATATGTTGTTGTTAAAGCCAACACATCTTTAATTATTTAAGTTACAACATTCCTTTTATACCTACTGGTAAACACAAGTGAAAGAAAATCTCATTTTCCAATATGCAGTTTAGAATCTGTTTCTTCTAGGACTTTTAGAACCTGAAATAATTGTTATCAAAATAAAATTACTAAATGCTTATTGTAGACAAGTTGACTTAATAGGTGTTTAAATTAGCAATTAGGTAGCAAGTATATTAGCAAGATGGCAAGAGCCTTGCTAATTTACAGCTTCTGGGACTGTGACTTGTGCATGTTTACGGGAAATGATATTGCTGTTTTAAAGATAATCAGCTGTCTCTATGAAAATCAAGTGCAGTAGAGTACATGCCAGTGAAAGTTCGTAACAGTAGTATATGATAAAATAAACTTGATTAAATTGTTTCTTTAGCTCTACATTTGCATTTGCAAGGACTTCCAATATGTTATCAGTGCCAACCTAAATTCCAGCTATCCCCGTCTGACTTTGATGGCTATATACTGATTTAATCCATTAGAAGCATTAATATGATTTAAATTATTTCAGAAGACACTTTTAATTTACTGTCCTTAATCTGTTGTGTTTTTAAAACAGATCTTATTTCTTATGGCTGTATGTGAGATAGGAATTAGACCACCTGATGGCTGTCACCTTTCCTACTTGAACTATCACAAATCCAGACATGCCAGAGTTCAATAGTTACTTCCTTCAGAGTTTTGGTTGGGCAGTAGATAGCAGGGCCAGAAGCAAAAGTTTTGCCTTGAACCTTTTGGATTGCCCTTCAGTGCAGCTGAGGGATAACAAGTTTACATCATTGCTCCATCTTGGTTTGGTACTAATCTTGATTTTGCAGTAACTGTGCAAAAGCCACAGAGACATAACTTTGAGGAAATGAGGAATTTTTATAGGTTGTGTTGACATTCAATGAAGAGATAATATTTCATTTCTGCAGGGTAGTTGTGTTCACAGTGAATCAAATGTAAATAAACTTTAAGGAAATGCTTGCCAAACATTTGCACTGTTAATTCTGATGCCTTTTATTTTAAACATGAATAGATTTTCTCTGCACAGCTTCAGGTTTTCACTTACATTGGAGAAAATCATTAAGAGTTTTAAACCAGAGAGAAATAAACAATGAGTTTCTTTCTTTTCCATTTGTTCATGTGTGTGTGCACAGACATTGAGAAGGACCTCGCACTGTGGGAAGAAGCAAGGCTCTCAAGAAGCCCTGGTGTCCAGCATCCCAGTGTAGTTACATCTGACCATCAAAGCAATCTTCCAGCTGCACAGGGCCAAACCCCAAGGCCTCAGGTGCCAACTCCGACAGGGAAGAACATTCAGCTCCAAGGAAACAAATCACCGCTGCCCGCTAACAGCAGAACACAAGTCCCCAGTGTCACAAACAGCAGTGCACAAACCAACAGGCCATCAGCTCCAGGGAGCAGACCTATGACCCCAAATAGCTTGTTGTCACGGCCTCTTAACCCTAGCAACCAAGGAAATAGGGAAGGCATTATTAGCATGCAAAGAAGCAGATCTTTGTCATCTAAGAGCCAAATGGGGAGGACCCTCAGTGCTGCTTCAGGGCTTTCTGTGCAAGTGAGTGGAGATGTTGTTGGAACTGTCACTACTCAGAGAAACAGTTTATCAGAAGTAAGATTTTCAATTTAATGTTTTTGCTATGTTTAATAATGCAAAGACTTGATTGCATTTTATGTTCAAGTAACATCAGTATACTTAATGTAACCTACTGTGCATAAAGAACTTGAAATATAATGTTGAGAAAATTAGCAAGGAAATACTGCTCAGCTTTGAGAGGTACTCATTAGAAAATGCCAGTATTATTACAGAAATCATACTGAAACATGTGTCCCTCAAATTTACCATGAGCTCTGTAGGGCTTTGCCTGTGCAATGCATAGCAGTTTTATTAGCATTACAGTTTCTAACAGGTGCATACCTCTGGAATATTAAGCAAAACTTTATCTAATCTTTATGCTTCATAATATTTTTCCTGCCACATTGGAAGTGCATGATATTTTCTTGATCTACTTTTTATTTCATACTTTGGGCAATTGGAATAATTAGTTAGGCATCACTGAAAGGACAGGTTTTTCCAAAGCACCAAACTGAATTGCAAGACAAAATGTCCAACATTGTTGAATGACTAATACTAAATGCATGGTAACTAGGCTGATTTACAGCATAAACATTTCCTGTCAAATATTTTGCAGGACTAATCTTTGTTTAAAACAAAACAGAAGAAAAAGTTAAAGTACCTTGTAAATTCTGAGTAGCACTCTCCTCTGCTAACCTTAGCTGCCTTAAAGATAATTTCAGTGTGTGGGCAGTGGAAATAAAAGCACCTGTGAAAGAAAACCCCTGCTATCTCTATACATGCCTTACAAAGGTGAGTCTTTTCTCAGGATATGCCAGTCCTTCTATACTGACTTGAGAAGGAACTGTATGTCTAGGTTGCTAATTTTTTAGTGGTGGAATATGTTGGTTCCCACCATTATTACCAATCTCTTCGTAATCCATTTGTCAAAGCCTAGAGACCTTTTTTCCAAGACTGAAAATAATATCATACCTTTAGATTGTTTCTGAGGAGTATCAGCTGTTTTAATAATCTGTTGGGTGTGACACTTGCCACAATGTATTATCAGTCTCATGACTTCTAAAGAAAATTTAAAATGTTGTTTGTGATAGTGTTGCTTAGGGTTGTAGGAAAATTAGAGATTAAATACTTAGTATATTCCTGCAATTAATTTTATGATGTCCATTATTTGTTGTGAAAGAAAGGAAATGAGGCACAGATTACTCTTGAATTTGGGGAAGAAATCTTACTTAAATTTGGTGGTGAAATAAATACTTATTATTTTGGTGTTTGAAAGGCAATGCATTAATCCCATCACTCGAGCTGTTTCTTCACTTACAATTGAATACCCAGATTAAAGACATGAGGACTGAAGGTGACTACTGTTCTCCTGAAAGTGTTTTCACTGCCAGCTGATATATTTTCAAATCATGGTTTTCATGGAAAAAAAAGTAATTTAAACTTCTTTTTTTTTTTGACAAAAAATAATCACTTAGTGTCCTCTTTTGAAGTATGGAATGTGTTTGTGTGTTAGAATTTTCTCACATATCAGAAAATGAGAATTGAAATTAATTTTTAACTAAAAAGTATTCAGAAGAAATGAACGGTTTTATTGTCTCCAACTAAATTCTTTACCCCTCTTTTTCTCTCTTTTAGGCAGTCTTGTTCTTAAATGATACAGTCATGTGATTCCAAGTAAAATTATTGTATATACTCCTGAAAGTATGTGTATGTAATGAGTGAGAGATCTCCATTCTGCCCATCACTTTCAATCTTTCCTGTAAAAAGGCAGACAATTAAAAAGGCTTTCTTCCACAACCTTTCTGTAGTTACAGTAGTAATAAGCAAGAGTCCCATTTAATTTGCTATGTCTTGTTACTTCTGTTTGTTGATAGATCTTGCATTAAGTGTCCTATTATACTTTTAATATATGTATATATTTGTCTCAAGAATTTTAGGAAGTGAGCAATATTATTATGCTATTTTCTAGTTAGAATAGCATGTCCAGATTCAGCCAGCAATCCACTGTAAAGCTGATGTTAAACCTCAGCATTTCTATGCAGGATCTTATCCTCTGTTAAAATCCCTTCTAGAAGTGACAAATTCTTTTCTTTCTCTTTGCTCACTGGGTACAATAGTACCTTGGCTGCTAGTGACCCTGTTCAGACCCTATTTATCCTTTCTGACATGCACAAGTGACCTTTGACATAATGAAAACTCAGCTTGGGACTAGCCCTGCTTCCAAAGGGAAAGCTGCTGGTATGACACATTCATCCTGAAGACCTTCCTCTGCCAGGTTGTGAAGGCACATGGATGTCAGAAAGTTGCTGATGGAGATGCCAATCTGCCACTCCCAGCCTCATTTTTGGAGTGTTACACTAGAAGCTCTGGGAGCCCTTTAAAGCTGTCTTTTGCCCACTTAAGTTCCTGTCACATAGAGAAGTGGATTTAGACAGAACATACCCAGGAAATAAGTCTGTCCTGTGACATTTTTTGCCATGTTAGACATTTCCTCCTGTTTGTGGCCATATGATCTCATTTTCTTGTGCCACAGCTTGTATCTGACCATGGAGATATATTTTAAAAAGGCAGAGGTGGTTTGGGGTAGGAGAACAAGAGTCCTGTCTGTCTTTGTACTTTTACAGATCACAAACATATAAAACTCAAGGCTGATACTGTAATTTATTTTGCAACTTTCATTGTAGGTTTTGTGTCATCTTCCTGTATAAAACCAGTAAAATAAAAGAAGGGAAATTGCCTTTATTCTTCTTAGCCTTATGGTCTCAACCGGGAATTTCTACTAGATGTAAATACACTGTGGTTATATTGCCAATCCTATAGAAGGTACTATGATAAGATTTTGCAAATAACTCTACTTCCTTACTGTTAGGTGATGTTGATGGAATTAATCAGTACAATGTTGATATATTTGATGAGAATAAGTCAGTTGAAAAGAATGTCACTACTGGGTGCCAGGAGCATGTTTTACCCTAAGGAGCTTTATTTATTTATTTATTTCCTTGTTTTGTTGGGAATTTTAACATATCTCTCAATGCCTTATGTATGCTTCCTAAATTGTAATGTGTTTCAGAGTAACATAACAAGTCTAAATAGAAAAATATACTAATAAATACAATTCAAAGTTCTTAAGCTTTAGTAAAGTTCATGCTGCAGCATGGGTGGTTTAATCTTGTTGTAGCACAAATCTTAAATAATTTGGCAAGTACTTAACATATCAGCTGTTAAGAATGTTTTGGGTTTTTTTAATGTTCAAGACTTATAATGATCTGAGATTTTGTGGACAAGTTTCTGCCTCCTGGCACACATAATATTACTAAGTTCTAACAGGTGTGTTTTATTATCAGCTCTGTTCAAGGCTGAATTGAATTATAGCAAAGAAATGCTACCTAGAGAAATAGTTTTATTATCTCTATAAAGGTAATAAATCAGGGTTCCAAATCCTTTGGCAGAGATACTTTTGTGCATGTTCCTAATCCTTTGGTGTTTTGTATAAATTGGCAAAGGAATGTTGAACCATGCTTATCTCTTTAGTATGGATTCCATTAAAGTGACACAATTCTGTGATACTTGTCAATAGCTATTGAGATGAAAATACTACTGACTCCGTTGTTTGCCATATCATTCTCTGAAAACATGAAATTTTACAACAATTACATTTATTCAGATAGCTTAAACTGGTATCCAGCAATTCTTATTAGTCTTTCTTTAAGATCAGGAAACTTCGACTTATTTGAATATAGCATTGATTAACAAAATTTTTACTCCTATTTACTGGAGTATAGAGCATAACTTGTGATGGGGACTTTCTTTTTGGTCAGATACTCTCATTCTATTCCACTGCCTGGCTCAGGTCTTTGCTCTGTCGTTTTGCAAGATTAAAAAGTGTGTGGATCAGTGTGAGAGTCACTCATCCCTACTGCAAGAATCCTGTTCTATGAACCAAAACACGTTCAGTGTTGTAGTCAGCAACCTTCTCAAGCACAGCACATTTGAAATGGCAATACATGAGTGAGTCCTGGAGCTCCTGCCTGAGTTTACTGCTGGGCCATGGCAGCAGTGGTTGTGGAATTTTTTAACACATTTCTGGCAGAATTAATAATTTACTCCCAGCAAGTTAGATCTTGATTGAGCAGCCTTCAGTCTCCTGAAACTGATTTAAACAAGCCTGGATTCTGTATTTAAATCAGATAGCCTAAGAATAAAATGTATGTTGTAATACAATTTAACTTTAAATATGTAAATTCTCATTTCAGCTGATGTAACACAAAACAGGGTTATTACCCCCCGCCCCTTTTTTTTCAAGAATTTATAAAAATCTGGCCAGTAATTTTATGATATCTGGCCAGTGTTAAAGTTTTCTTTTAGAGACTAAACTTTCGTGTTTGAACTACTTTTGGAAATAAAACTGTGCATTCCAGTCCCATCTCTCCCTGTGAATATTGCAAAGGAATGTGTCAAAGTATTTTATATGTCTGTATGTATATGTTCACATACACATGTGTGTGTCTGCATGGAAAAATACTTTTATACACATACATATATACATTATATAAAAAAGCAGGCAATTTTAAAACATTTTCAAAAGCATATATTCAGCTGCATATGGATTTTTAACCATGTAAAACATTTATATTTTGATGTTTTAATGTTATCTTTGAAACGGAAGTTTCCATAACATTTTTCCTACCTAAGCCTTCTCCTTATGCAACAAAACCAAAGGTTCTAAATCAGGTTTTCAGGTTCTTGTTTTTATTAGACTAGAAAGAGTGAAAGTTTTGAAAAAACAAAGCTTCACTTAAGCAAATTGCATTTGAAATGTCTATGCAGTCCAAAAACTGCAGGGTCATATGTAATATCTGAAATTTGTCCTGTCACTGCATTTCCAAGATGAGTATGTATGTGTCTTACATATATGTATTTATAGCAGAGAGCTAAATAGATCCGCTCATTTTAGTGGGTTTGGGTTTGATTTTTTTGGTTTTGTTTTTTTGTTTGTTTGCTTGCTTTTGTTTAGGTTTTTTTTGTGTTTTTCTTCTGTTTGGTTTTTTGTTTGTTTTTTTGGTTGGTTTTGTTTTACTGGATAGATTTAAAAAAAATTCTAAGGAGCCTGCACATCCTCTACATTCTGGTTTGATTTCACATCAAGTTGGTTTTTTGTTTTTAAAGGCTTTCTCCTCTCTAGTTAATTAAGGCTAATGTTTGCTGCAGTCTTCATTTATACAGAACAATTGTCTGCCATTTTATCTAAAATAGATCTGTTTGTGGCAGGATGAATTCTTACAACAGCTTCAACTTGCTCATCAACCTTGGATATTGCCGAGTGACACAGAAAGTGAAGAAGTGGAAGCTGACCAAGACAAATGTAAGTATATGTGTAAGGACCAGATAATATGTCAAACACCCTCATACTTCTTCATTTTCTATATCTTCAAATACTGTGGAGATGCCATGCCTGCTCACAGGAGTTTTTCTCACAAGAACCAATTACTTATCTGTCTGAAGGCTGAACCTTATAGGATTGATTTGCAGAAGCTTTCCTGTAGCCACTGAACAATGACAAAATGGTCACAGAACAATATTTACTTAAGCTAAGTGAAACAGTTTGTCCTCGTGTGTTAAAGTAGGTGTTCCAGAAAATAACATGAACTTTAAATAGATAATATGTTTAATAAATCTGTATTCACCAGCAAAAAAAAAAAAAAACAAACTAAAAAACTCCAGGTCAGAAAAGTCAAGCCTCCCTTCTTAGGTCTGTCACTCCATTATCTCTATTTTGCTTACATTCTTTTTAATTCATCTGTGTTAATAAAAAAGTTCTTAATCATACAAGTAATCCTTAATATCCTACACTCTTTGAAGTATCTGTCTAATTGTGGAAGAGAAGGTCAGCAGGATCAGTCTAAATGACAGAACAAGTAACAGGCTATAAATTGCAATATTTTCAAGCTGTAGCAAGTTCTCCCTGCCTATACCTGTAAATGATTTTACTGTTTCACATTTTCACTTTTAATTCATGGCAGCTTTGTGATCTGCAAGGGTGAATATGCAAGCTGCTTCCTAACATATTTTAGGTGATGTACTTGAAAAGAACAGATGATTTAATCAGCATGTTTAGAAAATCCAATACTGGTTTAAACATCAAGAGTTAATATATGAAAATGACATTTTCTTTACAGAAGGGAACAGGCATCCCCTTCTGTAAGGGATTAAGGGTTCATAAGAGACATGCCAGATAAAGAGATTTTTTTTAAAATTATGCCACTTTAAAAAGTTATTTTTTACTCACACAGTAGTTTCACAAATTCATACATAGACCAGAGGTTGACTGAAATTTAGATTTACACAATGAGATTCTGAAGAGCATGTACCAGGTCATTTTGAGTGCTAGTAAAATGTTACAATGAGATTCTGTGCATCCAGCTGATTTTAGTCCAAGGCAAATAAGTCAAATTTTACTTGCATCAGAGCATTTCAGTTATCCTTGAGCTGAAGCACACCTTAGGAGGCTCAAGAGAGCGTCTGGGACCTGCCTTTTATGTGCATGCAATTTTTCCTCTGTATTTTCTGTAACGAATTTACAGTCCCACAAACATTGGTAGAACTGGCTGTGCCCACACAGACTGATGCTAATTATGTGACCAGGGATACTGATGCTCCAGGACATATCAGATACACAGCATGGTTTTTTATGGCTGCTGTACTTGAATTGTGTGGGTGTGAGCACCCAAAATTCTGTGCTATAATATTCCAGGAATCCTGGTAGGTCATTGTCACTGCCCAAAAAAACAAAGTGGTAAGTTACAAATTAAAAGCATGTTGTTAACGTCAGTGTCCAAATGCCTCTTGAACAGTGACAGACTTGAGCTATTGACCATCTCCCTCAGAAGCCTGTTCAGTCTTTCACCCTCTCAGTAAAGGAATACTTCCTGATGTCTAGTCTGAATCTCCCCTGGCACAGCTTTGAGCCACTGCCATATATTCTGTCACTGAATACCAGGGAGAAGAGATCAGTGCTTCTCTCTGCACATGTCCTCTTCAGGAAGCTGTGAAGAGTGAAGTCAATGCTCAGCTTCATTTTCTCCAAACTAGACAAGCCCAAAGTCCTTAGCTGCTCCTCACACTTCCAGCCCTCTCACTGGTTTTGTTGCCCTTATCTGGACTCATTCAAGGACCTTCACATCCTTCAGTTGTGGTGCCCAGAGCTGCACACAGTGCTCCAGGTGAGGGTGCACCAGTGCTGAGCACAGTGGGATAATCACCTTTCTTGAGCAGCTGGTGATTCTGGATTTGATGCACCCCAGGATGGGGTTTGTCCCGTTGTCTTCCAGGACACGCCTCTGGTTCTTGCCGTGCCTGCTACCAACCAGCACCCCCAGATCCCTTTCTGCAGAGAGGCTCTCCAGCCACTCTTCTCCCAGTTCATTCTTGTGCCTGATTAGTCCATCCCAGCTGCAGAATCTGGTGTTTTGACTTGTTCATGCCATTAATCACTGTCCAGTGCTCCAGTCTGTGTAGATCCCTCTGCAAGGCCTCCTGTCCCTCCAAGAGTCAGCAGCACCTCCCATTTTGGGATCATCAGCAAATGTGCTAAGGATGGATTCAGCTCCTGCCTGCAGGTTGTTGGTAAATGTATTGAACAGACCTGGCCCTAGAACTCAAGCCTGGGGAACACCATTGGTGACCAGTTGTCCCCTTTGAGCTCTGCCATTCAGCCAGTTCTTCACCCAGCACAGCCTGCAGCCACTCACCCCACAGCTGGACAAGTTGTCCTGAAGGATGCTGTGAGGGACAGTATCAATAACATTACTAAAATACAGAATAACCACATCCATCACCTTTCTTTCATCCACTAGGTAGGTGACCTTATCATAGAAAGCTATCAAATTAGTTAAATAGGACTTTCCCTTTGTGAACCCAGGCTGACTTCAGTGTAGTTATCCAGTGCATCCTCTATAATAGATCACTGTTTCTGTTCACAAAAGGGATGGAACAAAAATGTTTTATCAAAGTAATACTCCTTGCAACTGAAATCTAATAATGAAAAAATTTATTAAAAGTAACTAATGGTGGTAACATCCCTGAGTTTTTGTGCTAGTGACATTGTCAAGAAAGTGCAGAACTGCCACTGCTGACAAAGAAGCTGCCAGTTCCTGGTTGTAAAGTGGAGTCAGCAAGGGACTTTGGCATACTTGCTGATTCCACTGCTTGTAGGTAGAGCAGCTGGCAAGATTACAAAGTAATAAATCTGTGTGGATATTTTTTGTGTGATTTAGTGTTGAGAAGGCTCAGGAGTTCATAATTTGTGAGTTTGAGCAGAAGAGCTGCGAAATTAATCTTTACAATAGCCACACCTGTTCTTTGACTCAGCATTTAATAAATTACATGTGGGTAATATTTACCACATTCTTTGACTACTTTGAGATAATAGCAGCCAGGTGTAAAGCTAGTTTTTGGTAGTGGGAAAACAATGCAAAAAGAGAAACTGTGTGAGTCACCTGGAGGTCTTTAGAAGTAATACCTTTGGTTAGAGTTTTACAAGAAAAAGAATGAAAAAATAAGGGGCGAACAGTTTCAAATGTATTCAGATGTAAGAGTTTAGAGAGACTATTTTCAAAGCAAGTGACAACTGAACAGAACTGGGTCACTTTGGAATCTCAGCATCTCTCGACAAACATCATTTGCAAAACAGATACAACAGTGCATATCTTGTTTTATGGAAATGAGATCTTGGTTCTCAGTTCTTGTAAATCAGACTTTACATTTTAAATTCTACAGGTGCTCTGACAGCATTTAAAAAAATTCATCCTTAGCAGCAAGTTTCAATGATAACTGGAAGTCAACAATTCTTAAACTTTCATACTAATTATGACAACATTTTAAATCAAATAGCTACTCATATAAGAGTTTAAATTTTTCTAGCTTAAAAGGTTTGTTATGTTAAAGAAGGAAAGAAAAAAATTTTTAAGAAGCTTGGTTGATTTTTTTAGCATAATCTTTCCTTTTCCTCTTTGTGCACTTAATTAAGTTCATGGCCATAGGTCAGAGAAAGAGATAGTATATAATTATTTGCTCTTGAAATGTACATTTTGTTATTAAAAAGATAAATTAACACATGCATTTTAAGAGCTATTATAATTTTGTATATAATATATTATTTATATTTATATTTTATATATATAATATTATATAATTTAGAAATGAAATCTCTTCTGTGTTGTCCTTTGAAACTCTCTACACAGTGAGAAATGAAAATTATCTTGTCCTTGATCCAAAATCAAGGACCTGTGGTATTCTTTTTAGAGTCACTAAAAATGTCTCTAGACAGAGCCTTGTGTGTTCTTCCTCTGTCATTCTGGAGACAGTTCCCCATTATTATCTGCAGTAGTTCGCTTGTGTGCTGATTGTCTGCAAAGAGTTTTCAGGGAATGCATAAAGATCATTCTTGGAAAAAGAAGGGATCTGGAGAAAATATTTACCGCTTACATAATCCTTCAGTTTGATGAAAGTTCTTTGAGCTGGCGAGAATAGATTTTCTTTATGGGGTACTGATGCACGGAAACAGAAGAACTGCATCTACTGCCACCAGAATATTTTTTAGCCAGCAAAAGTGAAAAGAAATTCATCCTTTCAGGGGACTGACAAGACTCTGTTTGAATTTTCCCTTCAGAACAAGTCCTACAAAGATTGAAGACTGGAAATTTCTTAAGTATCACTAGCTTCCAAGAACCTTGAAAAGACAAAGACGGGATTTTGGTGTAATTTGACCTACCATCTGTAGTCTTGGCAAGGATTTGCTGCCCAAAAGCCTGAGTCTGCTTTCTTGGGTGCCACACTGCAGATTTCCCCAGGTCACACAGCCTTGGATGTAAAGGATCCCTACCTTCAGTCAGTCCACCTAGCAGATGTACGTGATAGTAGGCTCTTGAAAAGCTTGCTACTTGGTTAATCCATTGTAAATATAGCCACAGAACATTAAGGGCTGGAAGACACCTTAAGGATCATCTGCATACAAACATTCCTTTGTGCTAATCTGTTTAAGGCATGCCAGTTTCTGTAGTCAGTGGCGCATGAAGTTGTGTGTTTCTTATCACTTCATTCCAACTTGCCAAAAGAAGCGCTAGATGCTCATTTCTAGCTCGGTTGATCCGGGACAAGTCTTGAACTCTTGTCCTCTGACCTGTGGGAGGAAATTTAAATGTTTTGCCACTCTTCATCTGCAAACTCTTTGCTAAGGTTGACAGTGAAAGGTCTACTGCTGATAAATCAAATGACTGTTGGGAAGAAGTGGGATTTCTACTCCATTCATTCTTGCACTGGTCTTGAAACTCTGCAGTCAAAGACACTCCGTTGATGACTTCAACAGGTGTTGAGGAAAACCTTTCTTTTCCCATTTGCACACATCTGCCTAGGAAAAAACCCAAAAGAATGAAAGATGAGGGGTTTTTGTAGACTTGAGAAATTCAGACTGTGTTCTAATAAAGTTCCAATCCATACAGTATTTGTCTATGGGTAAAGTTTCTTACACTGAGTAAATTCACATGCCAAAACAGTCAATTTATCCTAATTACGTAAATAAGTGTTCCTAAGATTTGGAAAATTGCTTGGCCAGAGTAACAATAAGGAGGAGTCTACTGCTGGAATATGTTTCGTCTGTGGAAGTTTGCTTTTGCTAAAGCCAGGTGCTCCTCAATATGAGTAAGGATGACAGAATTGGGGTTAGAGTAGCAGCTGTTGATTACAAACTTTATAACATTTACACAAACACATTCCGTTTCTGTCATTCAAATTCAGCTGTTTGTATTTGTGCTCTGCTCTGATGGAACATAGCTGTATTGGAAACATCTCTTTCAGTGGGTATGAATTTAGGGCAGGGCTAATTTATGAATTTATATTTATAATTAATTTAGGGCAGTGGTTTCTCTAGAGATTAAGGCACTTATGAGACATCACTCAAGTGTTAGTCAATTATGTCTCTGGTTAGTAAGAACATAACTGTTGTTAGTTGGCAGTTTTTCTCAGTGGATAATAAATTCACTATGCGCACTTTTTTTTTTTTTTTGTCTCACAAATGAATCTGTCCCAAAAGTGAACTTCTGGGAGAATTTTATCACGATTCATGAATCTTCTGGAAAAACTTATTGGTGTCTTTCTTCCATTTAATATTTCAAGTGTGGTAATACAAACTGCAGTAAAAAAGTCATATCTCCCTGTTCCACCTCTGCAAAGGGTGTCATAAAGCTTTTGTCTGCTTGGGATATGAGTTATTTTCTAAATTTCTCCAGTATGCATTTATGTATATTAAAGAAAATATGTTGTCGCTCATTCTGCCTGCCGTTGGCTCGGCTACATATTTAGCTTAAGACAGTTCTATGTCCACTTCAGAAACAGAATACCAGAAAGGATTGTGCTCCTGTAAACAGAATTTCTGCAGGCCTATTGGATGGTCCTGGCTGGTTGTCATGTGACATTCATAGCTGAAACTGCATCACTTCATATAACTGCTTTTTTAGTCTGAAAGTAGATGAAAACAATTTTCTGGCATGGGAACCTGCCCACTTGGGTTTAATTATTTATTGATGGTGAAACAAAAGTTAAGATTGACATTATTTCTACCAGAAGTAAGATGACTGTTGGATGGTGAATGGTGAGTTCAAATACAGTTAGGGAAAGTTGGAGTTAGACTCAAGTTTCCAATTTTTGTAATGGATGTTCTTAAATCCAAAGCTGCTCTTATCTTCTTATATTATTATGGCTTTAAGGCATGTTGCTTTATTTATACTGACTAATATTTGGTTTCACTTTGGAAAAGTTCATATTGGACTAAATTTTAAATATTTAGTATGAGAAGGGAATTTTCCATTGCAGTGAGTAAAAAAATCGAAACCTGTTTTAGTGCAGAAAGCTCTTTTCAGCACAGCTTCCAAACCTACAGATATCTTTTTCTACAGCTTGCCTTATTATGCTAAAGTTGGATTCCCAAAGACATTTAATGTAATAAAAAATGACACTGTAATTTAAAAAATGGCCTAGGGAATTATCAGGACACACATTAGGTAAATTAAAAGTTGGCTCAATGAGGAATCAAAAACTGGAGTTTCTAATGGGAAGATGTAGATGAATGGGGCTCATTAGGGTCTGATAGGTTTGGATAATGGGTGGGAAGGACAAGTTGAAGTTATTAAATGATATGAATCCCCTGGTATAATGGCCACATTCCAGTAAAATGCACTTTATTATAACCAGATGAAATATATTCAAACCAAATGAAATATATCTGGCACCAGAGAAACATATCTGTCTCTGCTGCAGAATTATGAGGCTTTGTCCTGGAAAGCGGTGACCTAATGGGTTTAGGATGGTCATAGAGGATCATCTCAGTGTGAGCTCTCAGCATAATGCTGTCACAAGAGTAGACAATTTCTTGAATACCTTAGAAGTTAAGCAGCAAAGTAATTATTCCACATCATATCAGTAAAAAAACCTGTGGGTTAGGTGTCTTACCATTAAGAAAGATAGGGATTACTCAAGGGATTTCAGAGGGTGATTAAAAATAACCCAGGGTTTGGGAAACCCTGGTTGGAATTTGCCTCACTCACATAAAGGCGTTCAACCAGGAACTTCAGAGATAACTTGATATCTGTAGATAGATGTTTAAGTAAAAAAAAAAAAAAAAAAAAAAGTCATCAAACTGTGACAAAGGAAATGAAATGTTCTGTCCTAGCAAACAGGACCTTCAAGTGTTACAAGCAAAAATTAAGGGATGCAATGAACTCAAAGACATTAACATATGGTTAACTTCTTAACTTCTACAGTTAAGAACACCAATTCCTGGGTTTTCTGTGGGTAACAGTCACAAGAAGAATCTGCAACTGAAACAGGCTTACACATACTTGCTCTTCTTTATCCCACCATACGACAAGTTCGTTATTTAATGAACAAACTGTGATAGAGCTTGAATATCTGCAAAATGAAGCACCTCCAAGGAAAACATTTAAACATTAAGAATAAATGACAAAAGGCCCCCAACCATGTAAGGGTAATAAAGGATAAGGACTGTTGCTAAGGTTTCCTAGGCTTTATGTCTTGTTTTTTGTTTGTTTGTTTGGCTGGTTCATTTGTTGTTGTTGCAGAGGTTTTCATGGTATGTACCTTACTTTGTTGATTATCAATACAGAATCACATACAAAGTCCAGGCTTATCACCTGACAAAGTGAAAATTATTCCAATTGTATTTAATTAATTATCTGGAGATAATGGGAAGAATTCGTTCCTCCCAAGTTTCTTAAATCTCCCAGAAAGGGCTTGCATATTTAAATGTTCAAAAGGAGTGAAGCTGCAGTGGCAGATTTCCTTCAGTGTTTAAAAATGGCAAGGTGAAGGCTTCTCAGGTAACACATGAACCTTTATGCATTCACCTGTGCAATTAAATGTCGTTGTGGTGTTTATTTCCAGTTTATAACCTTGATTCTCTAACTGGATCTAAGTAATAGGTCCAGTTACAGCATTACATTTTATACAAATACTGGAGAGGGCAGGTTGCAGTCAGCAACATTTGCAAAACAGTCCAGTGTAATATGCATCTGTAAATATTTGTAAAACCTAGATTTCCATTTGCTATGAGGAAGGTTTTCAAACTGAACACAACCAGAAATTAAAATATCAGTATCTCAGCTTATCTGATTCATCACAGATGCATATTATGTTCAGTGTTTTTTGAAACACGGGTTATTTTTGCAATCTATTACCACAATTGAAAAAGTGTAGAAAAAAACCTCTCCAAAACACTGAATAACTGCAACAAACAGTTTAACTAAGGATACTGTTATTTGCTTCTGAATATTTTAGAAACAAAAAAAAAAAAGAATTGAGATTCACCAACATACTGATCCACGTTGCTTACTGTGAATTCAGCATAATGGAAAACTGTTACAAAATGAAAACACAGTGAAGGATTAATTTTCCCTTTTTTCCTATTTTTGTGTATATTACATTTGAACCCTAATTTCTGTGTTTTTCTGTTTGATTTCACAGGTTAGTGAAATCAGTGGGATTATTGAAGAACAATTTAATAAAAACAAAATTATGGTGATCAAAACTACACCTGAAAATTTGCATTAGTTTATACATTAAAAAAAAATTAAATAAAGTTATTTTTCTAGTATCAGCAGCACATGAGTGGAACTGCTCTGATATGTGGATGCTGTAATGCACTGAAGGAGAGTATTTACTGTGGTATAGTGGCCTTAGGAAAGAAGGGTAACTGTCACCTTTTAGTATAAATTTACTATAATATTTTGTTTAGTTTATACCCCTGCTGTTTTGGATTGACATTTGATAAACTAAATTCTGCCTGACCAAAACAAACTTTGCCTAAAGATTGTATGTATTTTAACTTGTCTAAGGTTTTGTACTCCTTATATTTTTGTAATCTTTGCTCTTTTTTAGATTAATAAACATTGAAGTATTTGCTGCATCTGCCCATGTGTATGTCCCATTCAGGTCTCACAGAGAGTTAGCTGTTCACTCATAGTCACCTGCAGAGAGAGGTCAGACAGGGGAATGAGTGAAAGAGTGTGTGTGGGTAGCAGAAACAGGTGCTGCTTGTGCTGCATAGCTTTGTATTGAATTTATCTGCTTTGATCTTTAAAACAAATAAAGACTCTGTTAAAAAGGGGAACATAATAAGGAGTGGTGCATGCATGCAAAAAATAAAGCACCTAAAGGAATTTCATATATTATGATGAAGTCTTAGTTACCCATATGGATTACTGAAACAAACTTGCTGTTTAAAATATTTTATCTGGTGTGTGCTGTCTACTTGGAACTTTAGAAGATGCTTTAGCACAGACATCAAATGAAGGGATGTGGCTGTTGCATTTACTGATTTCATTTACCTGTTAATTCTGTCAAGTGTGTTTTCAGTTTTCTTTGTCTTCAATAACGTATGCTTGGGTCCTGTGTCTTAGACAGAATAATATAATGAAATTGCTTGCAGCTATTAAAAAATGCAGTATTACAAAGCATCTATTTGTATAAGAAATAAAAATAAGTTGTCTGTCATAAGTGTTTCATAGTGTGAACTTTTTTCTACTGTCTCACAAATACACAGTGCTAAATGCACAGAAACTGCATAGTCTGTGTTAGTCATCAGCAAGTGAAATGGAAGTTAACATTGTGGTGAGCAAGTACTTGCTATATGTGTCATCATAGTCTACAGTCCCTATATGTAAAATGTTTGTTTCTGAAACCGCCTGGGGTATTTCCTTTAAATTCATTTCAGGAAGGTGCTTTGTTAATTTGTCATCAGTAAAGAAAATCAGTAATGCTGTGTGCATTTGCAGTGTGCTTGAAGACTCCTTTGCATATAGGAGGGTATATTATCATCAATATGCTATATTTAGTCAGTTGTGCTCAGAAAAGCATTCTTGTGAAACTAGTATCTCCTTTTCATGAGTTTTATTCTTCCCAAGTAGCCCTCATTTCACATTTTACCTTGACATTACTGAAAAATATAAAATAGGATTGCCTTCTTTCAGTTTCTTCACTAAACATCTGCATGCTAAGCTGCATGCTTTCTGCTTCATGTCAATATCAGGTGAAATTATGACAATATTTAATCCTTGGGAAAAAATCTCATTGACTTCAGGAGAACCAAGATTGCTCATAAGTTGAGAAAGAATTTGGAATTTTGGAGCATCTTAATTCTAGAAATTCTGGCATCTATGAGAACTTGACAGTTTTGGCCCAGTAGGGCAGATATTTGGTCAGGGACATGTCTGGTTTGAAATTTTGGTTACAGGTGAAGAAATACAAGACAGGCTTTATTCAGAAAGGCAGAATATCAGCCATGTCACTGGTGTTCAGAGAGAAAAAAGGCTTTTCAGTTACAGATATAGTGAGTGCATCAAGAGTTGTTAGAGTGATTAAGAATTTAGCACATACTAATTATACATACAAGTATCTCAAGGTGTGGTAGGATGGCTTGGGTGGTCTCAGTTGTAAAAGCTGTGAAGCCCTGAGCTCCTGAGATGTGGCTGCTCCTGGGACTGGCCAGAACAATGATATTTTTCTGGGACACTTTCTAAGCTGAGGGGCAGAGGATAAAACCATGGACAATATGACTTTATTTTCACACTAAAACATACAGAAAATCCCATGTGATTTTTTTGTTTGTTTGTTTTGTTTTAGTTCTCATAATTTTGACATGATCTCATGACGTTTTAACACTCATGGTTAGCACTACTCCCTCTAAAGCATATGGCAAACCATTTTGGCTGATATTAGTGCTCAGCCCAGCAACCAGAGCTGGCACTGCAGAGAAACAGCCACCTGGTGCTTTGACTGCAGACAAGCTGGCAGCGAAGCATAGCAAGTCAGGAGAACTCCAAGGAGAAGCTGAGATGCGCTTAATAGGCAGCAAGCAGCTGGGCTTAGGGGGGGCAAGGGAGCACAAGCAGCAGCTGGACAGACCATGCAGAAGGCATGTGTGATAAACTTGTTTTCACCTCCAAGCTGCAGGAAGTCTTAGTCATTTTCTGTTTGACCTTTTTGGCTTCAGGAAGCAGTTTCTCAATTGCTTATGGAATGAACTGTGCCTACATGGTGTCTAATTGAATTCAGAGTCAGCTGTGGATGCTCTTGATGCTGCTCTAGTTAGTTTGGCAAGAATATCAGGGTGGAGGGTTTTTTTTTTTGTTTGTTTTTGACTCTGCACCAGGCACTTCAAAGTCATCCAAAAAGCTATTGTAAAGCTGCATAGAAATGTGCTACTGTGTAGTTTCATGGAACAGAATAGATTTAGCACTTTTCAGAAAGATACTTCATGGGTCATTGATGGTGCTATTCAGTTACTGCATTTTGATGGAAAAAAGAGTCATGAGAAACAGATAATTTTTTCCTAGACATATGTTTGCACCTTAATTTTTTTAAGCCTTTATGAATGTGGTGATGTAGGGATGCAGGATTCTAAATAGTACTTGCTAATGAAAAAACCAAATGTGTCTCAGTATATAAAAATGCATGTAACTTGTCTAAAAAGCAGCTGTTTTTCTTTCAAAGGCAAATTTATCATAAAATGGGCTTTATTGCCATGTGAGTTATTGCTGCTTCCTTTTAAGGTCTTCATACCCTTAATACTTTATCTGCTTAATCTTAAAAACAACCTTAATGTATTCTTTTCAATAACATGGTAATACAAATGGCTTTCCTTCTGCACTGCTTATATCAAGTAACTTCATCATTAGTCAGATTTTAAAGACTGCCTTCTTGCTACCCCAGTGTCTAGCTCTAGGATTGGTAGGTATGACAGAGGGAAAAATGGGGAAGAACTTTAACTTGAATAGAGCTATTATAATTAAACAATTTCTTTTGAAATATCCAGTGGAAGGTTTCTATGAGCAAATCCTTATCTTGAAAACTTCAGCAATAATTTAAAACCACACAACAATCAGTTGTATGCTGTATTAACATAACTTTCTGGCCCTGTGGGAATATGTTTCCTAAAAATACGACCTTATCCATAGCTGAGGAGTCTTTCTTCTGAGTCAATACTTACAAAAGAGGGAGAAAAATAGTTTCCTGTTTCCTGGAGTATTGCTTCAGGTATGTCTACATTTTACTTAGAAGGTAGCTAGGTAAGTGCAGGGGAAGTCCTATAATCCAACAACTAAATTCAGAGAAATATATGAACTTGATGAAAGCCAGCTCACATGCATGAATGTGATGCGATCATTTCATTGCTCTGGCTGTACGTGGACATGCTTCACATTTAATCCAATAAACTATTAATGTAAAATACAGAAAAGCTCCCCTGGGTTAGATTACAGCAGCCTGGACAGCTCTGCAGTAAGCATGCTAACCATAAAGTTACTATGCTTTTACTAACTTTGTATTACTAGCTTCAGGCAGCTTCACAAGAAAAAAAGATGTGAAAAAATAAAAAATAAAAATTTTATGCCCATTCAGTCTTCACCCTGGTTTCTACATTTTTGGATTAGAGAGCAGATAGTAGAGTTAGGCAATGCAATTAGTTTTGTAGATATTTTTGTGCTTTTCAGTTTTAGCTGAACTTGCAAAAGTTTGGGATTAATCCAAAAAATTTTAAACAGACCACTGGTTTGACAGAATTAGCTTAGTTCTTGCTATATTTCTGAATTTAATTACTTTTAGTTATCAAGTTGCTGGTTAAAAAAGGTAGATTTTTTTAAGTTAAATTTCTGACACAACTGTTCATTAGGACTTTGGTTGCTGTTTTCTTTCTTGGCATGTTAGATAAAGCTAAAGCATAATCAAATAAAATCTAGTTTGATGACACACATTTTTTATTTTTTTTACTTTGGATAGTATAGTCAGCTGCTATGTTCTATGGTTTGCCTGCCCTAGTGTCCTGGTTTAGGGCAAATTTGGGAGAAAACCTCCAGTGGGGCTCCCCCCGGGAAGCAAACACACGTGGCCCTTTTCTCCCACCCCCCAACCGGTTCGGGAAGAGATTTCTCTGAGAGAAGTGGAAAAAACTTGTTTATTTCACAGGCACAGCACTACTTAGTACAAGAATGAACAATAACAAATTACAAAACCTCTCGCCCTTCAGAAGAGATGACAAACTTCAGAGGGTCTCTTTCCTGTGGGTGTTCGCTCTGTTATCAGTCCCTCTGGCGCTGGAAAATGCCGCTGCCCAGGCTGGGCTCCCGGTAGTCCACGGGTGCAAGCTCCCGGTGCTCTCCCGAGTCCCCAGTCCAGAGCAGGTTCGATTCGTTTCAAAAAAGGGAAAGAAAACAGTCCAGGAAGACCTCTCTGCTCCGGCTAGTTGGAAAGCCAAGGCGATCTGTGTCTTGTCTGTCTGTGCTGTAGTCAAAACTCCCGATGCGGGGGGAGCAAGTACAGTCTCTGATAACAGATTCGGTGCTTCTTTTCCACTCACTTTTACTCTCAGATGGAATTTTAAGAATACAAAACCTGTGTCTGGGTTAGGTGGACGAATGGGGATACAATTTAACATCATAATCAACCCAGGACACCTAGATATGCAGCAAATCTAATATGTACTGTCTGTAGAAGTT